CCAGCCATCTCTCTCCAACGCTACCACTACCAGCTACTAGCGCCCTGCGCTGAAGACTACTACTACAGCTATGAGCGCCCAGCGCTGAAGACTACTGCTAGCGCTAACTACTACTGCCAGCGCTCCTCCTGAGTGTTGTGGCTGAATCCTGAAGACTACTCGTGCCTACTGTCCAACTACCTACCCGTGAAGTGCATGGGAACTTTCTATGTACTACTCGGGTACCTCCTGGCTGCAGGCGAGGCAGTCCAGGAGGCTGCTCTTGCCAATGCCGAAGGCAGCCAGGGGCTGCCGCTGCAGCTCCTGCTCAAGGCTGTCGTGGGGAACAGGCCAGAAATAGCCTGTTCCCAAAACCCTGGTTTTGTGCCTGAGGTTTAGGGTAGGTCGATCTTATGAGGGCCCGAAAGTGGCCCTCCGTTTCAGGCTGAAAAGCCTCGCTGAAAAGCCCTGTTATAGGCTGAAAACGAAATAGGGCCTGCAGGCCCTCGTTTTCAGTTTCAGGCTGAAACGACATGGGGGCTTGTAAGCCCTATTTTCTAGGCTTTTAGGCTGAAAGTGCGGGACGAGAAAAGGTTAACCGACCCCCCATTTTTCACCTCAATTTATAAGAAAACCATAAGGCCATCCCAAGCAAACTTCACACCAATCTATAGAGTGCACTTCTTACTAACATATTATAAAACAAATACCAAAAACAAAAATTAAAAACACATAAAACAGCAACTCAAAAGTGCATTTTCAGGCAATTTTGCAAAAAACCAAGTTCATCAAAATTTCAGGATTTTCAGGATGATTAACAGCACAAATTCTAATAACCCAAATGACACGAAATTTGAGACACAGCAAGCTTGTCCTAAAACAAAAACAGGCAAAAAACAAATTTCCAAAAAAACACAAAATTTGAACCCGAAACCCTAATTTCAGGATTACTCATCGTTACCTAGGGCCGAAAAGTGGAGGTCCCCGTTAACCACTTGTGCGGGCCCTGCAGGCCCGTGTGGCTACGCAGTATGCCACAGCCCCCCCTCCTTGAAAGACCGAGCTTACCTGCGAGGGCGAAGCTGTCTGTCTGAGGGAGGGACCACAGTCCGGGTGGGAGAGGCTGGTCGTGAAGCTTCCTGAGCTAACCTTTGCTTCTCATAATGCGCGTAGATCAGCGGTGCGGATGCTTTCAAATCTGCTCCTGAAATCCACCGAGTGTCGTCGTGATCACATGCTTTGAATGTAACTTGTACTATCGCGGCTTGCTGCCGTACTTGCGATCGGTGATGACGCGGTCAACTTCCTGATGACCATCCATAGAAGGAGGGTCCTGCGATTGTTGGCCCGGAAAGTCATCGCTCTTAGCTGGCGTGTATGTTGCCAGTTTTGAGGCGTGAAAGACTGGATGGACCGTCAGATGCGGGGGGATGTTGATCACAAATGAAGGGCCATCGGGCTCATTGCCCGCGACTGATGTTACGGGCCATGGTCCAAACCACTTGGGAAGCATTTTGCGTGAGACATCCTATTCTAGTGCAAACTCTTCCGCGGAAACCCAAACCAGGTCGCCGGCGCGGATGGGACATGGCACGCGATGCCTGTTGGCTTGCTGCTGCATGCGGACTTGAGCCTTTTGCATATTCGCGCGGGTTTGAGCCAGCAATTCCCTGTACTTCCGGACGGAAGCAGGAGAGCAAGCGGCATCGATGTCGGCTGGTCGTGGGAGGAGAAGGTCGGCGAAGATCCGGCCTTTCCGTCCACCGTGGTGCAACTCGAATGGAGTCACGCCGATCGCCGGRTGCACCGAAGTGTTGTAGGCGAACTCAATGTCGGGGAGGCGGTCAACCCAATCTTTCTGATCCAGACGGATGAGCGTACGAAGCATCATATGAGCGGTATGATGTGCCCGCTCCATTTGCCCTTCCGTCTGTGGATGCCGAGCCGAACTTGGTTTCATCTTCGTGCCGGACTCCTGCATGAGAGCAGTCCAAAATGCCGACATGAAGCGAGTGTCGCGGTCGCTGACTATGTCTTCTGGTACACCGTGGCCACAAATCCAACCGGTGTGCAAGAGGCGTGCAAGCTCGGGAGCCGTGGAGTAGTACTTGCAAGCGAGAAAACGCGTGTACTTACTCAATCGGTCCGCGACTGTGAGAATGTCGTCGTGTCTGAGGCGATCGCGGGGGAATGGTCTGGTGACATCCACGGCAATGGAGAGACCTGGTTCCTGCGGGATCGGCATCGGGCGCAGCTCGCCGTAGGGGTTGCGTTTGCGGGGTTTGCTTCGTCGGCAAACTTCGCACGAGTTGCAAAACCTCGTGACGTCGGTGATGAGGTCGGGCCATCAGAATCGTTGTCGAAACCGTGTAATAGTGCGGTTGACTCCGAAATGGCCGACGAGTAGCGAATCATGATACTCGCCGAGGAGGCGAGTCCGAAGACGGCGGTCGCGTGGGACACATAGTAAGTCCTTGCCCCGCGAGTGCAGGAGCAAGTACCCATCGGCGATGCGATAGTGGCTGGCCGGCGGGTGATCCGAAGATAGCTGCGCATATAGCGTGGCGAAGTCTGGCTCGGACTCATAGCCCCTGATGAAGTGTCACTGGAGCTCCTCGTCGAATGCGAAGGCATGATGTGTCATAGCGCAAAGATCAGGTCTTCGCGAGAGTGCATCTGCTGCGCGATTGGAGAGGCCGGGAAGATGTTTCGGTGTGAAGTCAAATTGGTCGATGAAGTACATCCATCGTCCGATCGTGCTGCTCACCGTATCCTGCGTTTTGTAGTAAGTCAGTGGGTTGTTTCCCGTAACCCATGTGAACCTACGACGCCCAAGGAGGAAGTGTCACCATCGCTTGATAGCCATCATGACCGCGAGCAGCTCCTTCTTCCTTGCATCATCAAGCGAGTTGATGGGAGGCACTTTGTGGCTGAAATACTCCACAGGGTGCCAGTCGTCGCCGTCGTGTTGTTCCAAGACTGCCCCAATGCCATAGCCGGAAGCATCCGTAGTCACTCTCGTCGGCAGGGTGGGGTCATAGATGCTAAGTACAGGTGCCATGAGCATGGCCGTCTTGAGTGCTTGGAATGACCGGCGTGCGTCGTCATCGAATACGAATGGCACCTTTGGCGTTTGTAATCTCGTCATAGGTGCAACAATCCTTGAGTATCCGGTGATGAATCGCTGATAGTAGCCTGCCAACCCCATGAATGAACGAACGTCCGTGGTGTTGGTGGGCTCGGGCCATACGTGGAGGGCCTCGATCTCGTCCGAAAGCGGACGGATGCCTTGCGGCGTCACATAGTGTCCCAAGTACTCCAGCTCCTGCCGCACGAATTCGCATTTGTCGCGGTTGGCTTTGTACTTGGCTTGTCGTAGCCGCTCCAAAACGGTGCGCAGGTGTTCCACTTGCTAGTCCAAACTCCGGGTGTACACCAGGATGTCGTCGAGGTAGATAAGCACGAAACGATCCAGCATGTGTCGGAACTCCGTTGTCATAGCCGCTTGGAAAGTGGTTGGGGCCTTCGTAAGGCCAAATGGCATAACCAATCATTCGAAATGCCCATATCGCGTCTTAAACGCTGTCTTGTAGTGGTCCTCCTTCCGAATCTCCAGTTGGTGATATCCCGACTTGAGGTCCAGCTTGGAGAAGAACTTGTCGCCGCCCAGTCGTTCGAGAAGGTCGTCGATGTGTGGGAGAGGGCCAGCGTTTGTGATCGTCTGCGCGTTGAGCTTGTGATAATCGATGCACAACCGCAAATCCTTGTTCTTCTTCCGGACGAAGAGAACAGGGGCATCGTATGGCGATGACCTAGGCCGAATCCAACCTTTCTCCAGAAGGTCGTCGAGTTGTGCCCGAAGCACACTTAACTATTCCTCGCTCATTCGGTAGATGCAACCGCGCGGAGGTACGGCCCCGTCCTCGAGGATGATCTCGTGGCGGATGGGCCAATCCGGTATTACTCCGTGCGGGCCTTCGAACACGTCGCCGTAGGCGTCGAAAAGCTCGGTGATGCGTGGATCCGAAGATGAGTTCGTCGGTGAAGCGTCATGGGGCGGGAGGGCGTGGAGAAAACACACCCCCATCTCCTCGATGTCGTCTCTGATGATGGAAGCTCGCATGCTTGCGGCGGATACCATGTGGCAGCTGATAGAAGGGTGAGGAGGAGGCACCGTGCATGGGACTAGTAATCTGTTCCGATCACGAACGTGAACGGTGCAGCGATAGAAGTTCACCAGGTGGTCCTCGCTTCGCAGCCATGACATGCCCAAGATCATGTCGAATTTGGTGTCCAGAATGTCAAAGGACACCGCCTCACTTGCGTGAGGGGCAAAGTACACTGGGACGTCATCAATGCACCGGTCGATTGACTTGTGCATGTGACCGTCTGCGAACGTGACTTGTGTGGGCTGGGACTTCCTCGGGACACGTGGGCCAAGGCCGGCGCGCACCATGAAGTCGTGGCTGATGTAGTTGCGAGATGCTCCGCAATCGATCAATGCGCTGCAGGTCGCCTGTCCGATATGAATGCGTGCATAAAGCAATGGTGCGTCGATGTCGTCGTACCGTTGCGTCTTGGACTCGCGGTCGATCTTCGCAATGTAAGCGTGAAGGTCGACAACCTCTACTCCGGCGTCCATCAACGGTGCTGGTATTGCAGTGTGCAAGTTATCCCGCAGATGTGCCATCAGCACATCGCAATGCGGTTTCAACAATCGACCGGTCGGGGGAACGGGCATCCACTGGAAGTCCGTGAACGTCAGTGGGTCGAGCACCTCACGTCTTGACCATGACGATGACTCCCCGGCCATAGATAACGGCGAAGTTGCCGAACTGTTGCCGATGGTGGTGAAACCGTGCATGCGATGGATTGTTGCACGTGGAGCGGTTGGTCCAACGGTGGGACCAAGTGGACAGCATAGTCCTCGTTAGTATACCGAGAACTTACGACATTCGCATCCTCCCCAGATGTGTAGGAGGCCGCTAGCAAGGTGGCCAAATCTGGCGGAGTGGGAGGTGGAGTCGCCTCACCTCCCGTGAAACTTAGTTTCCCGAGTTAAGACAAGGCCGCACATATTCCTTGGCCTGATCCTGGCAAAGGGAGGTCTTGTGCTTGGTGTTGTTGCACCAGTAACAGCAGTCGTAACAGCCGCGGTACTTGTACTCGGCCTCGGTCAAGTTGAACTTTACCCATGGTGCTGGCTGTCCATTTTCGACCTGCGATCATGATTTCGCCTTCCCATTTACTCGGGACTTGTTGTTGCTTCGCGGCTGGACAGCATCCACATGATCTCCCTCACGTGATGCTTGGGCGGCTGCCGGGTCTTCTCCACTGTCCAATTGGACTGCAGCAACATGCTGCGGCCGCGGACCAGTCTTTACCTTCTCCACATAGGTCGGCTGCCATGTTGACTTCTCGTGTGCAGCCGGCCCGTTGGTCTTGATGATCTCTCTCGCCTTGTTGATGATCTCTGCGAAAGTGTTGTACAGCTCGCGTTCACCAAGTTCGAGGCTGAGAGCGGCGCATGACCTGTTGAAAAACTCACGGCGCAGCTGCGCGAATGGCAAGTCCAGATCGGGCGTGGCCACGATCTTCTGCCAATCCGTGAGCCAGTCACGTGTCGGTGTGCTCCCTTGAGCCATCGTGAAGATGTGGTTGATGGCGAGTGCCGGGGCGTCGTCCACAATCAGCCGCTTTTTCCATTCCTTTGTCATATCCTCCCAGGAGACCTTGTACAGGTCTGAAACCTGAACGCCGTGGATGGTTGCCATGTGGCTGAGCCAGGTCTAACATCCTCCCTTTGCGTAGCGGAAGACTTAGATACCAATGATCCGAACAATCAATATTGCAATGCAGCCCTGAACATACATCATCGTCATTGTTCCATCGTGTGAAAGGGGTCTGGCGCTTCACACAGGAAGACTGCGCCAGCCCCAACCATACACAGACGAAGAAGAAGGGGGTTAGACGAAGAGGAGGGGAAGATGGGAATGTCGTCAACACCAAGTCTTTGGCACAGGCCCAAATAGTCCCTCGTCAAAATGTCTGAATCCCAAATGTCGAGTCTGGATCCAATGTCGTCAAGTCTCAAGTCACAACTCTTCACAACTCTCTCTCTCTCTGTCGTAGTCTGCTGATCCTGAGAAGTCAGGTGGTGAGAGGGTGAGAAGAGATGGTGGACTTAGAAGAGGAAGAAGAAGAACTCTCTCTCTCTCTCTCTCTCTCTGTGTCCAGTACTAACCTGTGAAGTTGGCGCCTTGATGCAGGTACCTCGAAGATGGAGTTGGAGCTATGGCGCCACAGGTAAGTACCGCTGGCCTCCGCCAGCCATCTCTCTCCAACGCTACCACTACCAGCTACTAGCGCCCTGCGCTGAAGACTACTACTACAGCTATGAGCCCCCAGCGCTGAAGACTACTGCTAGCGCTAACTACTCCTGCCAGCGCTCCTCCTGAGTGCTGCGGCTGAATCCTGAAGACTACTCGTGCCTACTGTCCAACTACCTACCCGTGAAGTGCATGGGAACTTCCTATGTACTGCTCGGGTACCTCCTCGCTGCAGGCGAGGCAGTCCAGGAGGCTGCTCTTGCCAATGCCGAAGGCAGTCAGGGGCTGCCGCTGCAGCTCCTGCTCAAGGCTGTCGTGGGGAACAGGCCAGAAATAGCCTGTTCCCAAAACCCTGGTTTTGTGCCTGAGGTTTAGGGTAGGTCGATCTTACGAGGGCCCGAAAGTGGCCCTCCGTTTCAGGCTGAAAAGCCTCAGGGCTGAAAAGCCCTGGTATAGGCTGAAAACGAAATAGGGCCTGCAGGCCCTCGTTTTCAGTTTCAGGCTGAAACGACATGGGGGCCTGTAAGCCCTATTTTCTAGGCATTTAGGCTGAAAGTGCGGGACGGGCCCTGCAGGCCCGTGTGGCTACGCAGTATGCCACACAGCGTGTGCCCAGGGCGCAGCCAGCTCTGGGCTCAACTGTACAGCACAGCCATTTTGCTTCTGGAAGAGCCTGGAGGCTCACGTTGCTCTGTAACCAACTGGCGTGCTGCAACTGTCTGAGTACCCACATATGGAAAATGTCAAAAACAGGCCTCACGTGGATATTCAGGCCCACCTTCACGTAGGGCAGACACGGGCTTGCTAGGGGCCGCAGCCCAGAACAATTGTATGTCTGCTGAGGGCCCCGTGAGGGCTCTTTCTTCACATTCCATTCCCCTTAGCTTCGAAAGTCCGCTGAGATGATTCTACACAGTTGCCTTCCCCTTCAGTATTTGTTCATAATCTGCCACAATCTGAGGGGCTGTTTTGACAAGCTCCTGTTTTGTGAACCATCGATCTTCTTTCGGATTTGTATGATGCCTGAACCTGACCCGGTATTCCCTCATAGGTTTAGGCAGTCTCCCCCTGCCAACAGGTTTGGGAACAGGCAAGTCTCTATGTTCCAGCATGTCGTGACGTCCACATGGCCATCCATGTTTGGGGCCAGCATTGATCTCCTTGATGGGAATTGATCTGTCTCAGCGAATGGTGCCAACTTGGAAGCTCGAAATACAGGGTAAGTGCCCAGATCACCAGGGATTCTAATGACGTACGAGGGACCATCCAAGTCACTACCCAAAATATCTAAGACTTCCCAAGGACCGAAATACTGAGGCATTAGTTTTCTAGAGATTCTGAATTCCTGACCCAGTTCACTAGCCTTTACCAGGGTTGTCACGCGGGGACCCCCGGGCCCAAAGCCGTGGTGGTGTTTTGATGCCCAGACCCCCACGGCGGGGGTCCCCGACCACCGCTGCCGGCGGTAGACCCCCGCCACCGCCCGACCCCGGCGACCCCCGCCGACCACCCCCACGGCCCCCCGCCCCGCCCCGCAACCGCAGCAGACGACCCCGCG